TCAAAAACGTGAAAACTGCAAATATACTTTGACGATCCAAGGTCCGTTATGAACAATGGATTGTCAAGCGGCGCCTAGTATTGGACGGGTACCTATAATAGTGACCAAATGGATCGGTTTATTAGGAATATTTTATTTGAGTCCCTACTTTTAAATATGGGAAGAGTTGTAGGACGATTTTAATTAAAGATCTCTAAGGCAGTGCAATAAATTTAAACAAGTTTCTTTTAATGGCGAAATAATGGGGAGAATAAACTAATATGAATTCATACCTGGTGTTAGAATAAACGCAATAATTTAATTTGTTTCAAGAAAGAGAAAGAAATTAAATCAAAATGAAATTCGCGTTTTCTTGAGACGAGCTGCGTGGACGTGGTGTGCCTCGTTGATTGTGATGATGCACTGCCGGGCTATTGTTTGTGCGTAGCGCTTATATAGAGAAGCGATTGTTTTATCCCCACTCAATAGTCGTCGTGTTGCCATAGACTGGTTGCGTTTGCCACGTGAATCCGGCGTTCAAATGCCTTTGCCATCGGATACTGTTGTTGATCTTTGCATTTGATACCTTATTTGCAAAGGTGTGTCTAGCTATGACATGTACTCCCATGGTGTTGTCATTTTCCTTAACTTACGTGACATTTTTTAGCAACAGTATTATCAACGGGCGTTGTAATATTGTGTGTATGTGGAGTGCGTGCCTTTATCGATGTAGAATTGAAATGACTGTCATTATGTCTTCCGTGCATGTACATAGATTCTTGTAAGTTGCCTTTTGATGAAGTTATACGTTATATACCTTGGTGAGGTACATATGTTCATTATATAATGCTTGGCCATTTGGCCTTTGACATGATATTGTATTGTTGCTCCGTATTTTGTTGCGTGTTTCTGCCTGTGTATTAACTACTATTGGATTGAACACGTATTTGATATTATTCAAGGGGCCTTTGAGTGAGCACGTGCAATGTTGGTGACGTTACTACGTGTTGTTGCTCGATATTTTGTTATTGATTAAATATGTCCATACGGAGACTGAAGGCGTTCACAGTGAACGGTAAATGATATGATTAGATAGGCCTTTGAGTGGGTCATAACGCGCTGTAGTGTGATGTTCTACTTGCTTGGGATTGTGTAGTGTATTCTTGTCTGTACAAAGATTGACATTAAATTGAATTTTTTATTCGATATGATTTGGCGGGCCTTTGAGTGAGCATGTGGAGTGTTGATTACGCAATAGCATGTTGTTTGCTCGATATCTTATTGTTGCTTAATATCGTTCAGACAAACACCGAAGTTGTTTACTAGAAACGATGATTGATATGATTTGATAGGCCTTTGAGTAGGTCCTAACGCGCTTTAGTTTGATGTGCTATTTTGTTCGGGTTTGTGTAGTATATTCTTGTTTGTACGAAGATTAACATTAAATTGAATATTCACTCGACATGATTTGGCGGGCCTTTGAGTGAGCATGTGGAACATTGATTACGCAATAACATGTTGTTGCTCGATCGTTTATGCGGGAACCGAAGGTGTTTACCAGAAAAGGTAATTAATATGATTTGATAGGCTTTTGAGTGAGTCATAACGTGTTGTTGTTGTTTGATATCTTATCAGCGATTAATTTCATTTGTGCCCAAATATGGATATATTTTTTAATGAGCGTCTGTCTGGGAATTTTAATGGCTTCCTGTTGTTTTTCGATTATATGATGATTTGTTCATTTTAAAATACCGAATAACAGTTTTAATGCGTAGTATTTTAATTGCGTTTATCTTTTTTTTTTATTTTTTTTTTTTACACCAGAATATGTTTTCACCTAGCCTTTTCGCCCCATACGTTTATTATAATATAAATTACAAATTATGAATTATAAAGCATATTATTTATATATTACAATTGAAAATACTTAAAATAACAGCCTATAATTAATTTTTAAGCGTAAAAGATATGTGAACTATGATGATTTTAGCGTTTAATATTTATTATTGATTTATTAACATTTTATAATTTGTAAAAATTGTAATAATTGCCTGAGAATAATAATTCAGAAACTTTTCATTTGAATATTGATCAAGGTGATGCATTGACATTTAAAAAGATCTGCTTAAAAATCTGCTGAAGAAGCGAGTTATGTATTTGAGAAAAATTATGTTGTACTTACTACTACACGACACACTCCTTGCGGTTTAATATGGTGAAAAAATTAAGGATGTATGTGAAAAATGTAATTTTTAATATCTTTAAAAATTCCAAAACTCTGAATTTTTAAAAAAATTAAGTATTTGAGAATTCCGCTGAGTGTGCTTGGTGTAACACTCTATACAAATGATGAACTTTTTAAACAATTGTTTTAAATCACTTAATATTATAAAAATTGTATGGTTGAGCACGTGTGAAATTTAAATAGTTTTATATTATAGATGCACCTACATACACTACGTGTTGTCGAGTATTTTCGTTATATTCATCAGTACATCACCAAACCTATCAGTAGCTATTTGTTGTACAACTTACAAGTTAATGTTAAGTCTATTTGTCTTCTGAAAGGTAAAATATTTTCACGAATATACTTCTACTATAACACTAGTACTGTTTTAGTACCCGAGAAATTATGCCGGCTTTGAAAAAAGGTAATCATGACAGTATTAATTTTAGTAGATAATATTATAATGAGTGTAATCACTAATCAGTATTAATGCTCATAAATTATTACAAGCAGTTGACTTTCGATGGTTTAATTTGGGAGGGGCTTATGTAAAACTTTGAATAACAAGATTTATGAAAAATGTGATATATTTTTAATTGACCGATTTTTTTCTTTTTTATGTATATAAAATTCCAAATAAGGTGTTTACCGAAAGAAAAATGGGAACATTTTCCAGGGAAATTGGAAAAATTGGGAAAAACTCTAATGACTTTTTCTTCGAGATTTTTGAATCTACATAGATTGCATAATATTATAAAATACTTAAAATAGCAAAGTAGTATAAATTAGTACTTATGCTTCTATGTAAATGGTTGGCACAGCTTTTTCATAATATAATAATATAAATGATCGGATATAATAGTTTTATATGATAGTTTTGATATGTTATCACTATATTTTTATCCCTCGTTGGTTTATCCAACGTTATATAACTACGCTTACTACTGGACTGTTTTAATTTCTGATGACTTAGAGGGTGTTTATAGTTTATTTTTCAATCCTTATACCCAGGTACCTAGCTAAAAGGTAGCTTTCACATGTTTCTTTTTTTTCTAGCTCACCAAAAAAGAATATTTTTTTGTTTGTTTATTTATAGGATTGTTATAATTGATTACATATTAAATTACTAGGTATTATAATATAATTATCTTAAATATGACATAATTATATACATTTTTACAACTGTACCTAGGTATTTATAAAAACAACAACACATTTTTGGGACTAGTAATTCCAAAATATTAAACTATATAAAAACGCGAGTAAAAACTATATTATAAGGAATACAGAATAGAATTACTTTTTTTGTAATCAAAAACCGTGATATTCTTTTTTAGTAAGTTAAGCTTAGTTTATCTCGGTCAATACTTTTTTGAGATTAAACAAAGCCTTAAAATCTTTGGCAAGGACCACTGGCTGAATTGAAAAGTTGCGTTATTTGTAAAATGATGAACTTCTTTCCTTCAAAGTTACTCCGAATTACTGAGTGTACTCAAATGCGTTATTTAAATTCGAATTATCATGTGATTTGCATGGGATCAAGCTTTGCTTCGAATCACTGAAAGTTTTAAATTATCAAATAATCGAATATTATTGAGAATTGACTGTATATTATATACGATGCTTATGAGTGTGTAAATGCTTGTTATATTTATTTATTTGTTTTTTTTTAACGCTGTATAAACAATTTGTAAATATTATTGTATTTTATTGTTATATCACCACTATTTTTTTTTTTTTTTAATAACATAACATTAACTTCAAGTACACTTCATCACGATATAATGGTATGTAGATTGCATAGGTATAGAGTACTAATGATTCACCGAATTTAAATAAACAAATAAAACAAAAATTTACGAAAAACAAAAACAGTTTTTTTAGGTTTAACTCTATGGTTCGTTATCGTCACATGCAGATCCACCGAAAGTAGTAAAAGAAATCTATGTATTCAAGCGACTGACAACTGCCCTAACGAGCATATTAAGTTATATTTATATACAAAGTACGTAAGTTTATCGATCATACTTAACACAAGTAAAGTTTAACATGTTATTTTAATTTTTTTATTTTCAAAGTAAAACTAAAAATGACCCTGTTGAGATTACGGAAGACTCAATCAAAAATATTGAGTTTGCGACGACTTTTGATTTAAAAATACTGATACATGGAATCAAAGGATCGAAAGACGATGATTTTAACACTATACTTAGAGACGGTGAGTTTCATGCCATGAGTCAAGTTCATCATATTACCGAAAATTGAGAATATTGTGTTCATCAATGACTAAATCACGTACACTGTTTTAAATAATCCCCGTACGACATTTAAAGTCAGTTGTATACTTTTAATTAGATAGTTGTAGTGACCGAAGAGCATTCAATGATTAATCTAAAAACATAACATAATTTTTTCAGCTTATTTCTCACAGGCAGAGTATAACATAATAACGATAGATTATTTCCCTATCGCGACATCATTGAAGTGTTATTCCGTCGCTGTTCAAAATCTTCCAATAATCGCCAAATGTATAACACAATTCCTCGTGGCGATCCTCGATGAATATGATCAATTCGTGTACGTACACGCCATTGGATTCAGCTTGGGAGGTCAAGCCGCTGGTCTCGTGGGGAAACTGTTAAAGGAGAAAGGGAAAATCCTAAACAGGGTTACAGGTAAGAGAAAATTACGCCAACCACAAAGGTTCACGATCGTTAATCATACGGTTCGAAAAAATATACACGGGGTACCTCGCCAAGTACGCTCATTCGCATTCGATCTTTTAAATTTAAATTTATTCACTCTTATTTTTGGAATTTTTAAGTGTATTTTATGTTTATATTTTCAAATACCTATACTTAGATATGTATGCCATTTAAGAAGTATTCCGTCTGCTATTGAAGAATAGTTTATGTTTATTTGAAAGATTCATTGTTTATAGTATTATCATCACTCATCTATCCAACAATTACTATAAAAACAGTTGTTTAACAAATTTAAAAATATTTTTGACGAAATATATTTATTCAATAAAAAGGGGCTGTGAAGAATTATACATTGAACCTGTGGGTTGACGGATCCTTTAATTTTGGAGGTCATGTTTCATATCGGAGTTGCCCGAATGCGGCCCGAATACAGGTAGTCGTATTTTATCCCAAATATAAGTATACCTATCCCGATTGCGGCCTGTCCAAACACACATTGGTTCACAAAATAAAATTAAGCATTTTGTATTAGACATATTTGTATATTATGCAACTCAAATACAATGTCTTGTTTATGATTATTATCATAAATATATGAATTTGGATTATTCAAATTTCTTTATTGCATCTTTTAACAACACTTTTACAATTTTTATTTGTACAACAACATTTTTATATTTCATTTGCTAGTAACTTATGAAATCGAAATTTATATTATGAATAAATTTATGATATGTTCCACCACTTGCATCTTACATTTTATCTGATTTTTTTTATCTTTAATGGACTGGAAATTACCAAGGCGAATATTGCTGATCGTGGTAATCGTGCATACGATAGTTATATATTTTTGTCAAAATAAGTATCGAACGCAATTGGGATATTTATTTAGTTTTGATAACTACTGTATAGGTAGTTTCCTACCTAATGTGTACGGACCGAAATTGGGATACGTGAAAAGGTAAAAAGGTTAGTTTGGGCCACAATCGGGCGACACCCTTTCATATTGGAGCACGATGGTGCGTTTACACTTGCTTTAATTTGGGACTGATCCTGAGTCGATAATAAGTTCTTTAATATATTTTTTTTATGGCAATTGTCTTTATTTGGTGTACATATTAAATCAGATGGTCTTATTAAAAATGTTAATGTGTCTTAATCGAAATTCAAATGAATAGTTTTCGAGTTCTTGCTTTATTCCGCTTATATCCAACTTGTAAAATCTAAGTATTTAAAAATAATACGATAAAAAGTTACGAATTCATAAAATTCAAGCTCAAATATAATATTATGTTTAACTCATCATAAAATGAAGGTGAACATGATTGGTGAACCACTCTGAGTGTAAATACCTACATAGTATGATAATATTATACATAATATATATACTAATAATATTAAGTTAATATAGTAATAATAAAAATATGTATTGGTATATACGACTCTCGATTACGAAAACTGAGTCGTTATGAAACCGATCATCTCAGGATTTATTTGACGAACAGGCCTTGATCCAGCACTACCTCATTTTGAAATGTTGTGGAACTTACTGGACGCAGAAAGTGCGACCATGGTTGACATCATACATACTAATTGCGGTGGTCTCGGACAAATGTTGCCAATTGGTACAGTTGATTTTTACGCTAATGGTGGAATCACACAGCCAGGGTGTGATAGGACTAGTGCTAACAAGTATAATAGTGAGTATTGCATGCTATTTAATGGATTCATACATGGTTTTATTCGATATAATTAGTCGATGAAAACTCATTCTTTTTTTCCGAACTGTTTCATGATTTAATTACAACTATCTGAGAGTAAAAAATTGAGTTAATTTAGCAGGCTGTGAAAACAATTGAGTGGACAAATTAGTGACCCTACAATATTATTTCGTATATAAAAATGTGTGACTGTTGATTGATAATACCCATAAAATGGTCCGATATCTCCTTATCAATACTAGAAATTAAATATTAAGATATCTAAATATAATAAAAGTACCATCGATATATTTAATACATTTCTCAAATTCCAGTTTATGAAGAGAATTATGATGCATAATATTTTGTTGTGGTTTCAAGATGTGCAGTAAAAAGGGTTATGATATATTCAAGTTACAGTAATTATTAATAACACTAGGAGGCCCGGAAACAGCAAGCTGAAGATTTATGGAAATATAATACTTTAAAGAAGAATGTGATTAGGATCTAAGTTATATAATATGCACATAGCGTCGTAAAGTATATAATATATAAACTGTACGCTGTTTGATTTAAGTGTACGTATCCATCAAACCACGATCGGGATAATGATGAGATTAAAGGAACATAATATGAGTAAAACGGGGGAAATAAAACTGTAGAAAAAAAAAACTTTAGACCAATAATTAAACTAGATCAAGTTTTGTATGTGAGTCTTACATACTAGGATAACTCTATACTCTATAGCATAAAAGTGTATTCAGTCCACAGAAAATTGATTTCATATTTTGTTTGACACGAGGAAAAAAAAACAAGGTTATAATATTTTACAGAGTTGTTCGATTAAGATAAATTTCTATACATAATATAATGGATTCTATACTTCCTTGTAAATAATTTAAACGATTTATGATTAAAAACAACATCATAATCATCATAATCACGATAATACCTAAAGTGTTAAAATATATTGTTTTGTGAAAATTTGCTTTCGTCAGAGTATTGGTACTTTTGTAGTCACGAGAGAGCATATAAATTCTACGCAGAGTCGATTTACCACGGAATGGGCATGTCTGGATTTTATGCGACGACTTCAAGCACCTTAAACCAGCTCTCATTATTGGGACAGTTTAGTAGTTTTTCGGGAACTAAAGTATTGGTTGGAGAATATCTTGACCGACGGTAAGTATTGATTTTGAACTATACGACGATAGTAGTAGTATCACACCTACTGCAACTGTTGAAATACTATGGAGCTTAAATTTCAATTAACAGATATTAAACACTTAGAATTGGTATACCAGACTATTATGGTAAAATATATTGATAATTGGCATAAACGATTAGATAATTAATAACCATTATCAAAAGCCGATTATTTCATAGTTGCATTTACTGGAGATTAAGAATGATAATAATTATATGAGTACCTTCTATTTAATAAAATACATTTTACCGGGGTATTAGAGATCACTTTTTGTATCCTATAACATTATATAATAATATTGTTACATTAATATATGTACCATTTATATTCTGAGTCTCTTCGAGTCAATTATAGTATACATATATATCAACAAATATGTCCCTTTAATTATTATCACCTTTGTACATGAAACTGGTGTTATACTAACTATTATTTTCGTGTAAATGAGTCACATATCTTTGGTAAAAACTAATTAATTATAATAACCAATTTGTATTATACAGCTTATGTTTTTATTAATTTTAATTTTTAGCACTAAAGGAATATACAACTTCTTAACCAACGATAGCCCACCTTACGCTCAAGGAAGAAATAAATTTTACTCATATATAATGAAATGGTTTTCTTAATTATAATAACTAAACAATAAGTGCATTATGGACGATGAACAAGTACCTACCTATCAAAACAGAAGTAAATTATATAATTTATTATTGAAAGTATGATGTACCTATACAATAATTACTATAAAATAATAGCTATAATCGTGTTATAATTATTAATTTTTTTTAAATCATTATTAAAATCAGTAGTTGGGAGTAGTCGGGACTAATCGAAGTGCCAAAATAATTAAAGTGTTAACATAAATAAACATTTAAATACAGTGGACAACACGAATCGATGGCATTTAATGGTTATAGTTAACAAATATAATATTTTATAGATAAGTACTTTCAATATACTTTCACAGTATTTCGAAAATATTCCACATTTTTCACTCAAAGGCCTTTATGGAAAACTACGATAGTTATTTTCTTGAGTATATAGGTAGTTGTACAATACTTGGTGTTAGAATAACCATAGTTGGATATGACTGGTGGACGGAAAAAAAAACAAGATGAAGGGATATAGAGGTTTAGGATTTAACGATGGTTTTGAGTCTGAACTTAGGGATTATATTTTAATATGAACATTTCAATTATAAAGATTATAATATTAATATTATGTAACAAAAAGTATGATTATTTGAATATAGCTTATGGATATAATCTAAACATTTTAATTAACTTATTGCTCTTGTTAAGGTAAAATCAAATGTCGAAGAAAAAAGAGTAAGCATCGAAACATACGACGGTTTTGGAGGTTTATGTAGAGGCGAATTTTAAAAAATTGCCCAAACACATTACTTTCATTATGTGGGTAAAAAGGTAATTCTTCCAAATACATGATGCCCGGCTCTTTACCACGCCAGTAGTCCCCCCCCCCCCCCAATGGTTTTACCAGTGCTTTATAGTTTATATTACCACACAAATACTGAGATAGATAATATCCTATACTTTAGATTCTCAGTGGAAACGATCAGTCAGCATATTATGGGGGTTCTTTTATAAAACACTAATTGTATTGCTCATAGCAATTTTTTTTTATTGGTACATAGGTAGTAAGTATTATAGTTTTTAATTATGTATTATTAATTATCATTAATAATTTTAACTAATTGTAACGAAAAATAAAACGTATAGAGTTTACGATAATTATTTATTTATATATAACTATTATAATATATTACTAGTTTATAATAACTTATAAGTCAATACCGCCATACCATAATATAGAACGATAATGGGCCCCGCTGAGCAAGGCCACGAAGTCTTATCTAGTATAATTAACAAACGAATTTACATAAATACATTAAAAATTACCAGTTTAGCAGGAAAACACAAATTTAAACAAATATAAATACATTATGCACAGACAAATACATAATATTACATATGAACATAAATTATAGTAAGGGGTGAGTCTAAGTGTAATAAATTATCAAATTAGAGCAATATAGGCGTATAATATTCTGCAGTTTGTTCTACGTATAAGTCGAGTAGTTACATTAATTTCAAATACATTGTAATTCAAACAACGCAGATCTATTATAGGGAGGCTATTCAAAATATTTTGACCAATGTACCCCTTGGAAATTAAATTTGAGTGGAGGATTTACTTACCTTAATATTGGTTAAAATATGGCTGGTATCGTATTCTGGTTTATTGGTTTTGTATTTTCTTTACTATAAAAGCGACGACTGCAGCAGAACATTTGTTTGATTTTTTTCTGTTTAACACTTTCAGTTATTCGTACAGGATGGTCTTAAGTCTTAACACAGTAATCTTAAAACAAAATTCTAGGTGATTTTCAAATGTTTGCGATTATTGTTTTGCTTGCATCATTTCGTGCAATTGTGCTGTATGTAAGTGAGGACTTCAATCAATGCATTGCACACTATTTTAATTCGATTTTTGTATAAAATATATCTCCGTTTCTCGAAGACCACATTGACATTTTTGTATGTTTTTCTTTTAGCAATAAATGAATGTGATCTCTCCATTGTAAATTACTATACTTAACTATTTTGTAGTCAGATTATTTTTAATTTATTATTTCATAAGCATAATATTATGTTGTTTTTGGGATAAGTAGCGACGAAATCTAAAATTGTATGTGAAGTGAAATCTAAAATTTTCATGCAACCACCAACTCACCCACCTACAGCAACTTACCAGTCATCTAAATTTAAGAAGTGCTTCACATGATATATGAGTTCGGCGCTCTTGAGTACAGCTGACTGAATGTACCTAATACAATTTTAAAGGAGTTTTTATAGTTTTTTTGAACAAATCTCCATCTTATACTTGACGTTTCACCTTAGCGTAAAAGAAAATGTTTCACTCTGAGGATCACGTATAATTGTGGTAATTTATTTTGTAAAGTCCCTCACTAGTTTGAATGCATATTTTTTCTGTGATTAAGCTTTTGCGTACAAATATCAAGCACTCTAATTTCTTAGTACTTTTTGGAAAAGTTTATCTCCAGTCTCTACTTTCTGGATTTTAGAAAGTTGACTGCAAAACAACTAATCTTTTTGAGCTGTGATATTCGAGATGGTTTTTGATAATTTTTATAATTTTTACCATCATCTGTTTTTATATTTAATTACCATCCTACAAGACGCTTAATGGTATATATTATATTTTCATTTGTAGTATCGAGAATACCACAGATAATAATTGCATTAGCTAAGAATGTCTACTTGAGATGCGTAATTTTTTATTGTAAAATATAATTCTGTTTGAAACGCTAAATAATATCAAATGTATGAGAAGAAACGCTATCATTTATACATTCAAGCAATTACTATACCGAACAGCGTGTTAAATTACCTTGGTTAGATTGGCAATCTAAATGCATGCTTTGCCTTTTGGCTTTGAAACATATTTCACAAGCACATTTAGAAGCAGCTTATGAACAAAGGAAAGAAATATATTTCGTATTTTACTATACCAGCAAGTTTTACGTGCCAGTACAGTAGACATAAGGTGCATTAAGTACAGATAAAGTGCATGCAATATTCGATGAATATTTACAAAATGCTGGCTTTTTTATCGGAAATCTGACCACTTATGATGAACAATTCAACCAGCTTGGACAAACTGTTTCTTCAAATCTCTATCATAGTCACTACGGTTAACAATATTGTACAATGTTATTCATTCCTAGCTGTTGCAAGGTAAGTACATATTATTACTATAATACTGTTATGGACTAAGTAGCTACTATATAAAGATTACCATAATTTTAGTTGTAATTGATCAAACAAGTTAACCTAATAAACCTTTTGGACGAAACCATTTAACGAGTATAACATTTTAATTACAATAAAAATAATATCTCAATCTCAGTTCTAAGAACAATTAAATTAACAAAAATAAAAACAACATGATCAATAAGTTAAACAAGAAATTTGTAAATTATTTTTACGATTTGAATTACAATATTACAATATTATGAGCAAAAGTTGTTTTGAACCTATTGAGTCTATGAATTCTGTTCTGCATTAAGTGTACAATGGTACAATATTGCAATTCAAATGAAATCATACAATTTGAGCTATTTAAAGTAGGATTAAAATTATATTGATGGCCAATCGTAAAGGGAATTCGAAAAATAGGTTTTATAATAATTATAATATGTTTAATAATCTTTACATTAATGTTGGTGAGGCGAGTTTTCGTCCTTAGTGTTAAATGATTAAATATACGGTATTATGATTCTTGCTTACAATATTGATGGGATGACGGCTAAAGTAGGATGATTTAGAATTCAAACGAAATGTCCATAACTGCATCAAAAAAGCACATTAGCTTACACGTACACCATTCGAGTCTCATATAGTTTTGCCCCCACAAGCATTATAAATTTAAGAAAAACAAATGCCAACCACGAATGGTTCCATTTCGTTTAAACATTATGGAGTTACAATCGCCCCACGAAATACCTATGCGGTCGTTTAGAATGCCATATAATATAAAACTGAACTGGTAGAAGTCATGCAATGTATCTTTGTGAACACAAAACAAGAATGGTTTTACTGATATCGCCTTTCAAATGAACGTATAAATTTGTTTCCGGTAATCGCCTTGTGATAGTCTTTATACCCTCGAAGTAATACTTTATGATTGAAATAAATTTTTTAAGTAAATAATAAAAACAAGATTCATAGACATGGGTTTTTGTTATATCTTTAAAAGTTATTTGATTTTGATTTTATGCACTTAATACGTTATTGTCATAATACTATATGATATAATATTACTATAAACTATCATTAAGATATTATAATTATTTTTTTACTCAACAAACTCAGAACTAATACGATATTAATATACCAAATTAAACGATCAATCACATCTGTATTACTGTGCAAGTTATGATTAGGTATTACTATACCACAAATGCACGTAATTGGGGTTGTTGAGGGATGAGTACTTAATATTGCTTTCCATACGATAACTTTGTATAACTTGTTATAAACTGTTTTAGTTGTTATAACTATTGTGTGTATAATATTATTTGCTTTAAATTATTATAAAATGATCTAAAAAATATAATAGAATATGATTTTATTTTCTGTAGTATACAAATATTGCTATTTTTTTTTTACTTAAGAGTTATGACCCCCCAAGTTATGACTAACATATTACATAACTAACATAACGAGTTTGAGACACCAACCAAATATTTTATGATTCATAATGTTACTCAAAATGTTTTAGGAAAAATGGATTCAACAATATTATGGCACTTAGTATGGGGTTCCTATTTCATGGATACATCTGTTGGAACTAATATTTTTACACCCCCTTAAATCTATTCCTCAAATACGCCACACTAATTATAGCTGTATTAAAAAAACATGCTATAATTTAATAGAACTTTAATGCATTAAATATCAAAAGTATTAAAGTTTTGTAGAAAAACTAAAATACAATTAGATAACTTAAAATATTATAACTGTACAAATAACTGTTTAGAGCATTATATTATTATTTTAATTAATTCAAACAAGCGTAACGAGGCTTATGTTAAACTATATATTTACGAAACGAACCAATAAAATATGATTCATGAATACAATAAAATTTGAGTACTATTCAATACCTATAACGATTGTACAGATTTTGCATATCCGTGTAAGAACATTATTTTTTATGTATAATATTTCGTTGTATTGTAATTAAAAATTAAGGTAAGTGATACGACAGAATAGATAGGGTTGAGTAGCTTTCTTTGTCACGAAATCATCAAGTTGATTATGGAATAATGATAAAAAAGTCGACTTTATGTTTTGCACTGAAAATATAAAATAAAGTATTAATTTTATTTATAAAATAAAATTATTAGAGATTGTGAATTGGTGAGATATTTGTTTATATTTATTTTGATACATCTAGCAATAATTCATTTAATTAAAACATTTTTAATCAGTGATCATTTTATCTTTTAATATTATATACATTTGTTTTTAGTATAAAACAGTTAATGTTTTAAGATAAGAATCAATAAAATTCAATACCTACTTACTGATCAAAAATATATATGAAAACACAGTAAAATGTATAAAAATGATTTGATCTTTGTATCTCAATATAAATTACCCTTTATACTACTTATATTTATTTGAACATTAAATAAGCCATTAACTAAGTTGAGGAACAGTTTTAATTATTGACATTTTAGTTTGAACAAAATAATATTTGTGAGTTAAATCTTGTAAAACAACAAATCATTTATTATTATTTTCCCATGAACTCTTTTTGTCTTTTGTATCAAATCAGATGTCAAAAATAAGCTTAATCTCAAAAGATCAATCTGATAAACAATGTTTTGAGTTAATGGTAAATCTAATGTATTTTGTACTACAGAAAGTTTTAAAAGAGCCAATAGGTCACTCGGAAGAGTTTCAATGTGGTTAATGGTTACACTTCATTATATATATATATTTAAATAGTTTTCAATTAAAAAGGTTCACTGTTTCTAAAAGTGATTTTAGATAAGTATGTACTGAAATTCAGTAATTATTTTGTATACATTGAATACTTTTTTTTTTTTTTTTT